AAATGGACAGAAAGTATAGATGTCAGTCAGTGGTCTAGATATGGTATTAAGAGAATTTTGGATCTATTTGATGAAAATAATATTATGTCCTTCAACGATCTTCGCACTGTTTTCAATATTCCAATATCCCAGAACTTTAATTTTATAAGAATAAATAGCTTCTTACATAGAGTCGTACCTCATTTGAAAGAGCACTCTCCAGCTTTTAAATTGAATAAACTGATAAATTCGGGAAAAAATATAAAGTTATTAACAAAATGCGTTGAGATAATGAATTTAATGAAAGTACAGATCCATCCTCCAGCTAAGATTAAGTGGGAAAGGGATCTGAAAATTAAAATTGATCTAAGAGAATGGAATATGGCCCTTCAGTCGGTATACTCCACAGTGCATTGCTTAAACGTTATGAAGGCACATTACAAATTACTAAATAGATGGTATATGACACCGGCAAAGATACGAAAGTTTTCAAATTCAGAAAGTTTGTGGTGTTGGAGATGTGATGCAGAAGATGCAGATGAAATGCATATATGGTGGAACTGTATACCGCTAAGGAGAGCATGGGATTGTTTCTTAGTTGAAATTAATAAAATATTGGGCATTACACAAAAATGGGCACCAGAAATTGTATTGTTACATCTAGAATTACCTCAACTAGCGAAAGATGAGAAATGTTTCTTAATTCACGCATTGATGGCTTTTAAAGTGTCTATTGCCAGGAATTGGAAAAAGACGACAATAGATTCATGGCAACAATGTAAAGAAGCCATTATTCATCAATGTAAGATGGAATGAGAAATATCTTCTAATTTTTGTATTAGCACAGAGAAGTATAAGATTTGGGATAAATGGATTAAGATTCTTGAAAGACCTTTATCATATATCTGAACGACACAAGTATCAAAAGGAAAGGGAAAATTATAAGGATAGAAAAAGTAAAAAAGAAGGGAAAGGAAAGGGGAAAAGAAGAAAAAAAAAGAGGGGTGAAAAGAAATAGGAAAGAAAAGGGAATAATGAATTTCTAAGAGAAGGATAATAAAAACAGGATAGGATAAAAGCTATAACTCAGAATTGCCCTGTTCTAAATGTTTTTGTATGTCTTTATGTATATTGGTAACAAAGTATGATATGTGACAATCGTTCTTTGTTTGAATATTTTTGTTTGTATATCGTGTATCTTTATACTGTTATTGAAAAAAATTCAAATAAATTATAAAAGAAAAAAGAAAGATACACACAGGTATCATTATTATTATTTATATAGCTCCACCATATTCCAAAGTGTTTTACAATTAAATAAAGGAGCTATTTAGAGGTGAAGGAGGTCCTGCTCAAACAAGCATACAATCTATGAGGAGTTGAGACATGCAGGTATATATATCGTTAGGTGTCTTGCCCAGGACAGTTACTGGTGAGGTAGTCTGACTGACATTTGAGTTTCATTACCACTGCTCTAACCATTGGCGGATCCAGGGGGGGGCAAAGGGGCAATTGCCCCCGCCCCCCCCCCCCCGAGATTCTCCCCTGCCGGCTAATACAGGGCTGGCATTGTCCAAGTGCCAGCCCTGCTATGTGCCTGCGGACCGGGGAGGGAGAGCAGAGATCTCCCACCCCGGTCCGCAGGCACTGTGCTGACAGCCGGCAGGGGAGGGAGAGGAGGAGAGCCTGCAGCTCCTCCGGGTCCTCCTCTCGCGAGATTTGGAGAGTTGCCGCGGTTACCACGGCAATGCTCCAAATCTCGCGAGAGTGAACTCTAGCCCTGGAGCTGCGGGCTAGAGTTCACCTCAGCACCACTGGGACCACCAGGGAATCCCCACTGGACCACCAGGGTACTAAATATTTCCCCCCTCTTCCCAGTAAAGGTAAGAAGGGAGGGGGGACATAAATATATTTATTTTATTAATGAAATGGAAATCAATTCAATCAATTGATTATTCTTTGTGTATCTGCCCCTGGCCAAATTAAGAAACAATGCGTGCACGCTCCCTGAAGTAATTCACACCAGACACAGGTTTCAGGTTGATGAATAACTTGAGGAATGTTTATTCAGACGGCAGGTCCCTTTTAAAGCAAAATTACATCATAATCATTGTCAGAGATAAAATGAAATAATACTTTATTAATTGGTTAGGTGTTAAGTGGTTTCCCTAATGCTCTGCCTACTAAGGGTGATGTCACTGAGACCATGAGGGTCTCCCCCAGATTCCAGCGCCATCTTGTTACACGAGGTAGTTAGTCTGTGTTATAGGGAGGGAGGGGTTAGAAGCTTCTAGTGGCCATTTTGTCTAGATATGTGTTAATAGCTTATACACTGATTTCAGTTAAATTAGTAAATAAGCATTTTACTAACTAGAATATATGTCAATATCTTATTTCCACAACAATTAAATACATTTTTTTTTTATAATTAAAAAGCCTCCCTACCCTCCTCCCCCCCATACACACACTGCCCCACAAACACTGCCCCATACACACACTGACCCCCATACACACACTGACCCTATACACACACTGCACACCCATACACACACTGCACACCCATACACACACTGCCCCCCCAACACTGCCTCCATACACACACTGCCCCCATACACACTGCACACCCATACACACACTGCACACCCATACACACACTGCCTGACAAACACTTCCCCCCATACACACTGAACACCCATACACACACTGCACACCCATACACACACTGCCCGACAAACACTGCCCCCCCATACACACATTGCCCGACAAACACTGCCCCCCATAAACACACTGCACACCCATACACACACTGCCCCATACACACATTGCCCCCAAACACTGTCCCCATACACACACTGCCCCCATACACACTGCACACCCATACACACTGCCCCCCAAACACTGTCCCCATACACACACTGCCCCCCATACACACTGCACATCCATATACACACTGCCCCCATACACACACAGACACATACAGTGCCCTACACACACTGCTGTGTGTGTATTTATATATATATAGCGGTAACTGGGGGACACAGAGAAAAACAGAGGGACTGGCATAGGGGCAAAGGAAACAGACCAGGGCTTGGAAGAGAGATAGCCAGAGGTGCTGGGGGACCTAAAAAAAACACAGATGGACTGGGGAAGGGGCAAAACAGACAGAGTCTTTAAATAAAGCCATTATTTTTTAGTTGTGATGACTTAAATCTATTGGAGATTTAGTCGACTAAAACTGAAAGAATTCAGATTTATTATAATACGACTAAAACTAAAACAGCATTTTAGTCAAAAGACTCTGACTAAAACCAAATTGAAATTTGCCTCCAAATTTAACACTGGTGCTAAAACATGTACTTAGCACTTTACATTACTGTAGAAGCAATGAGTGCAGTAGGTATGGAGACACGGGATATACTGTCGTACTGTATACTGAGAAAAGTAGGAATTAAAGGAACACTATAGGGTCAGGAACACAAACATGTATTCCTGGCCCTATAGTGGAAAACCCACCATTAAGGTGGCTTGCCCCCCTCCCCCCTGCCCCCCATAAAAGTATGAAAAACTCACCTTATTTTCCAGCAACGTGCGCCCTCTTGGTGACATAATCAGAATTGCTGTTTTTAAGCCAATCCAATGCTTTCCCATGGGTAAAGCATTGGATTGGCTAAAAACAACAAGGGGCGGGGCCAAAACACTGTTTTTGGTCAGTCAGCACCCCCTCATAGATATACATTGAATCAATGCATCTCTATGAGGAATATTCAGCGTCCCCATGCAGAGGGCTGAACGGCAGTGCTGCCTACTGTGCAGCACTGAGCCAGGAACCACCTCCAGTGGCCATCTGAGGAGTGACTACTTGGAGGTATCCCTGGGGGCAATGTAAACACTGCCTTTTCTCCGAAAACACAGTGTTTACATAAAAATGCCTGAAGGCAATGATTATAATCACCAGAACAGCTACATTAAGCAATAGTTGTTCTGGTGACTATAGTGTCCCTTTAAGTATTTATGTCTCAAACAGAAAAAATAATAATGTCTATTAAACCTAAATGAGACACATGAAGAAAAGAAAATCTCCTCTGAACATTCAACAAACAGTTTTATTGTCGGTCTGTGGTTAGATGGTTTGTACAATTAATAAACATTTGTCATGTTAGCTGGAAAAGAAGTCTTAGTGCCTATACGGCAACGTCATTTAACGTCCTTAGAATATTCCCATTTTATCCCCTGTTCATTTGTTTCCACTTTTTGCATCATATTTCATAACTAAAACTCTATTTAATCATTTACCCATGTAAAAATGAAAATAGATAGATAGATAGATAGACATAGATAGATAGATTATAAATAGATAGACAGCTAGATAGATAAATAGATAGATAGATAGATAGATAGATGATAGATGATAGAGCGTTAGATAGATGATAGATAGATAGCGTTTAATAGATTAATTATAAATAGATAGAAGGATAGATAGATTATGGTTAGTTAGAATGATTATAGATAGAAATAGATAGACAGACAGACAGATAGATAGATAGATAGATAGATAGATAGATAGATAGATATAGACAGACAGACAGACAGACAGATAGATAGATAGATAGATAGATAGATATAGACAGACAGACAGACAGATAGATAGATAGATAGATAGACAGATAATTTATAGATAGATAGATAGATAGACAGATAGATAGATAGAGAGATAGATAGATACTGTATAGATAGATAGATAGACAGATAATTTATAGATAGACCGCGTTAGATTGATTAATTATAGGTAGATAGACAGATAGATAGATAGATAGATAGATAGACAGATAATTTATAGATAGATAGATACTTTTGTCTTTGATTTGCTGTTCTTTAGCAATACATTCTTTCTGTATTCACCATTCACATTCTGGTCCCTCCCTTGACTACTAGCTATTACTTTCCTTTAGGCATGCCTTCATCACTGTGATGTCAGAGGTGTATTTCACACCCTCTCTCACTTCTCAGTATTGATATATAACCTAACACAAACAGGATTCACAGTTATTCTGCTCCAAGGGACAGTCACTTAGGAATTATTCTATTATTTATTTAAGGAAAACATAATCAAAATGTTTGGAGCTAGCAAGGTGATGCTCTGTGGATTTATAATACTTGTTTCAGGTAAGTACGAAGAATAATGTGACCATATAATAAATTCTAAGCAAATTCTTAGTAACTTTATTTCTTTTTAATTGAAGTATATTGAATGATAATCAACACGCATTTATTAATACATGGAATACTTATATAACAAATAATACAGATAGAAATATAATTAGTAGCAGTTGTAGTATGTTTTGTTATTGTTCAGTAAATATTATTATTATTATTATATTATTATTATTTTATTATTATGTAGAAAGTGTCACTAAATTCTGCAGCACTGTACAACAAGTTGACTAGCAGACAAGTATTTGTAACAAGACAAATGTTGATGGGTTTGAGGGCTGTGCTCAAACAAGCTTACATAGTGAATAATATAATATAAATATATTATGGTTTTTTTTTTCATATACTTGTTCCTTATCTAGAGTAACATTTATATACTACATATACTGTAACAGAGGCCAGGGAGTATCAATCATTATAAACAAAAAATATTGCAATGCAGGCAATGTTGCGACATATGTTATTTTTTTCATTGATGTAGCTATTATCCACCCAATTCTTATTTCTCTCTCGATGTCTCTCCAATTTAAATCCTACCATAATCTACAAGGCATTTTATTGATTAACAAGATTTTTTTTTAAAAGCCACTTTGTATCATCTTGTGGTGAAGGATTCCTTCTGAAGGAGCCCTGGAGTGTCTGATGAGAATTTTGATTGTAGTGGTACTTGTTAAATCAAGAGTTGATACTGAGGGTACTTTACTGAAATGATAGCCTACTTGTGATACTTACTGACAGAGAGATTAAGCAATAGTTTGCTAAAGGGACATTTCATGTTAAACAAATCTTTCGGTTGTATTTAAAGAAATTTAAAATGATTTTACTTTGCAGTTACAATGCTAAAAATGTCACATAGATTTTGAATTCACATAGCTTACAGATCAATTTTGAAACTTTAGGGGGTGGGAGGTTGATAATGCCTTATATATATATAGTGGTATAGATGGTTGGTATGTACTGAACATTGTTCTAATAATCTCCCAGTCATGCTGTTTGTTCAAGTTGCCTTGATAACATTTGAAAGAAAACATGCTTTAACGATCTGTGTCAATGTGTTAGTTAGCATCAATATGAATAACTGGGTGTGGATTACACAATAGGGCAGAAGGTCTATCTATACCACAGCAATAAGAGGAATCCATTGTGAAAATGATGACAGGGTAACATACTAACAGGTTGAAAAGAAAAAATTCAAATCTAAAGAATTCACCCTTTTCACAGATTCCGTTGTTGGTGCTGACCCACAAGACAGTAAATGAAATAAGAAAAAACAAATCCGAACCAGTTAAAGTACTATCTCTTTATGAACCAAACAAAGTCCTTCATGACTTTAAAATGATGATATCATTTCTCTCTGGATAAACAGCTGTTATTAACAATGACTGCTATATAAACTAGTAAAGCCATAAATATTCAGCTTTGACAATAAATACATTTTGAGCTCTTTCTAATGTGTCAAATTTGGCAAATTTTATTTTACTGTGACATCCATTGCAATGGGTTAAAATCTCCCAATGATTTTCACAGAATCACTACTTTATTAAAAGTACATGTTCAAGCATTTTGTTTCTGGGCATGGGACCTTAAACGGGAGCTGTCCCTTCCCAGATGTTTTAATATTGTGTTTATTTAGCCACGCATTTAACAAATATGAATTTGTGAGGTGTGAAATAGAATGGAATTCGAAATAAAGACATCATTATGCAATGCATTATGCGCCTCCATCTGAGCTCCCTGTCAATCATTGCTATAAACTCTCTACTTTTAACACGGCAGTCAGAATAGAGAGAGTCCCCTCCATCTGAGCCCCCTGTCAATCAAAGAAAGGATATAATTAACACGGCAGTCAGTATAGAGAGACCATTCAGAGAAGAGGAGAATTTTTTAAATAATCTATTTCACCTCTTCATTTGCAACGTTTTCCCTGACTTTGTATTGTCTGAACTGGTTTATGATTTTTCTTTCTAAATCTTAAAAAAATAAAATAAAAAGGTCAGCAGAAGTTCTAGGCGATTGTCTGTGATTATTTGGTGATGTCAATTGCAGAGAATTGAAAGTCCCCTAATTAATAGAGACCTGTATGCTTATGTCAACGTTCTGGATTACAGTCAAACCACCCCAGATTGGTGGAGTTGTACCATGAGATATTTTGTTAAGATAAAAGAATAAATCCAAGATAGAATGGGTGCAGAGCGAGTCTGTCCTATAACCCTTGAGAGTATTTATTTGTGGATGACGGCATCAAATGTTTAGCTTGAATCAAATTGTTGTGTACTTAATGTGATACATACATTAAAGATTCTCTGTAGCAGCAATAGATAGGAATTGGGTGCCGTTTGTATAGGTCATGCATAGCACGCGTTGGTAATACATCCAGAACCATTTCATGAAGCTATCATGGACTGTCCTGTTGATTGTAAGACAATTGAGTGATATTCGCCATATCAGCGTTGTGGTAGCAATCAGTGTTAAAATAAATATACTAAAAACGTAAAAAGATCAGTGTTGTAAGAAAACAAATTCACTAAGAAAGTAAGATATGGATTCTGATCTTTACACTCGAACGCCTGTGAATAGGCTTTGAAAATTCTTTCTCCGTTATTTTTGGCGTTAGACGTTAATCATATTTTGAACTAAGGGATTTATTTAACAGTTTTGCTAAATTGGCAACATTTAGGGCAAAGCAGTGAAAGTAGAAAATAATATCTCTGACATGTTTTCTTACTTGACTGTGGATTCAATATAAACTCCGACTTATGATCTTAATAGTTTGTTTTAGAACTTCAGGACAGAAGGGTTTCTTTGACTAAGAATGTTGTTAGATGTCTTTTTTCCGGTCATTGTATTGGTAATACTATGTCCATGTGAGAGAGTGTGTTTGTGTTTAATTATATCCTTTCTTTAGTATATTTTATGATTTCGCTTGTTATTATGTTTTTACTAAAAAAATCTAATATGTTGTTTTGTTTTCCATAGTTTCCCAGGTCGAAGCGCAGAGTTCATCATCACTTCTTGAGTTACTCAATAATCTCATCCAGCAACTAGTACAAATAATTCAAAACGTAATAAAACAGTTAACAAATCCAACAACAACAGCGGCTCCTGCAACCACTTTACCTAGTAGCTCGACTATAAGTACAGCTACGCAGCATAGCACTGGGACTAGTAATCAGGCTATAATAACAGCGACAACTTCTGCATCTTCTAGCAGCAGCCCTTCAACTGCCACCAGTAGCAGCCAATCCACAGGAAGCACTGATAGCCTCCTATCATCAGCCAATGTGGAGACAACAGTCAGTCACCAATCAACAGCTACCAGCAGCATTGCAGTCTCTTCAACTACCGGGATTGACACCAGTAGCCAATCTATATCAGCCAGCACGGAAACATCTTCAAACATTGGGAGCAGCAGTCAATCACCTTTCACAAGTAACACTCTGAGCTCTCCCATTTCAGATACCAGCAGTCAATCGCCATCAGCTAGTACAGAAACATCTCAAGTTACTGGGACCAACAGTCAATCAGCATCAACCAGTACACAGACATCTTCCAGTGTTCGGACCACTTGCCAAACAGCCCCCATGAGTAACACTCAGGACACTTCCTTTACAGACACAAGTAGTCAACCACTATCAGCCAACACAGAGACATCATCCAACACTGCTACCAGGAGCCAATCACAATCCACTACTAACACTCTAACCTCTTCTGGTACAGAGACCAGCAGTCAATCACTATCAGCCAACACAGGGACATTGTACAATACTGCTACCAGGAGTCAATCTGAATCCACAATTAAAACTCTAACCTCTTCTGGTACAGAGACCAGCAGTCAATCACCATCAGCCAATACAGGGACATCATCCAATACCGCTTCCAGGAGCCAATCAGAATCCACCATTAACACTCTGACCTCTTCTGGTACAGAGACCAGCAGTCAACCACCATCACCCAGCACAGGGACATCTTCCAATACTGCCACTAGGAGCCAATCTGAATCCACTACTAACACTCTAACCTCTTCTGGTATAGAGACCAGCAGTCAACCACCATCACCCAGCACAGGGACATCATCCAATACTGCTACCAGGAGCCAATCAGAATCCACCATTAACACACTAACCTCTTCTGGTACAGAGACCAGCAGTAAACCACCATCAGCCAACACAGGGACATCACCCAATACTGCTACCAACAGTCAATCTGAATCCACTACTTACACTCTAACCTCTTCTGGTACAGAGACCAGCAGTCAATCACCTTCAGCCAACACAGGGACATCACCCAAAACTGCAACTAACAGCCAATCAGAATCCACTACTAACACTCTAACCTCTTCTAGTACAGAGACCAGCAGTCAATCACCATCACCCAGCCCCGGGACATCTTTGAATACTGCTACCAGGAGCCAATCTGAATCCACTACTAACACTCTAACCTCTTCTGGTACAGAGACCAGTAGTCAACCACCATCACCCAGCACAGGGACATCATCCAATACTGCTACCAGGAGCCAATCAGAATCCACCATTAACACTCTGACCTCTTCTGGTACAGAGACTAACAGTCAACTACCATCAGCCAACACAGGGACATCTTCCAATACTGCTACCAACAGCCAATCTGAATCTGCTACTAACACTCTAACCTCTTCTGGTACAGAGACCAGCAGTAAACCACCATCAGCCAGCACAAGGACATCTTCAATTACGGGGACAAGCAGCCAATCAGCATTAACCAGTAATGATCTGAGCACTTCCATAACAGAAACAAATAGTCAATCACGACTCACCAGCCCAGAAACATCTTTAATTACTGGAATCAGCAGTCATGCAGGATCTGCCAGTAACACTTTAACCTCTTTCAGTATAGAGACCAGAAGCCCACCAACATCAGTCAGTGGGACATCTTTCATTACTCCAGCCAGCAGCCAGTCAGCATCTGCCAGTAAAACTCTGAGCACGTCCACTACAATAACAATTAGTCAGCCACTTTCAGCTGGTATAGAGACATTGTTCAGTACTGGGACTACTAGGCAAACAATATTCACTAGTAACACAATAAGCAGTTCCATTACTGGTACCAGTAGTCAGCAACCATCAACCAACACAAAGACTTCTTCAACTACTGAAACCAAAAGCCAAACTGCATCCACTAGTAATACTGTTACTGCTTCCATTACAGAAATGAATAGTCAACCACTATCAGCTGGTATACAAACATCTTCAACTACTGGAACCAACAGCCAAACTGCATCCACCAATAACACTCTGAGTAAATCAGTTACAGAAATAAGTAGTCAACCTCTATCAACTGGTATCCAGACATCTTCCAGTACTAAAACTACAAGCCAATCAGCATTTACTAACAACAATTTGAGCACTGTTACAGGTGGCAGTAGTCAATCTACATCAGCAAGTATACAGACATCTTCAGTTACTGGATCCAACAGCCAATCAGCATCCACCAGTAACACTCTGAGCACTTTCATTACAGAAACTAGTAGTCAACCACCATCAGCTACAATACAGACATCTTCCAGTACTCAAACTACAAGCCAATCAGCATTCACCAATAACCCTCTGAGCACTTCTATTGCAGAAATCAGTAGCAATCCAGCAGCAGCCAACAGAGAGACATCGACAATTACTGGAACCAACAGTCAACCATTATCTACCAGTAACATTCTGAGCTCTCTCATTACTGCTGCAAGTATCCAACCACCATCAGGCAACACAGAGATGTCTTTCATCACTGGTACATACAGCTTTTCATCATCCACCAGTAGCACTCCAAGCTCTTTCTTTTCTAATTCCATTAGTCATTTCCCATCAGTAAACACAGGGACATCATCAAATACCGGAACCAGTAGCCAAACAACATCCAACAGTAACATTCTTAGCACGTCCATTAAAGAAAACAGTAGCCAACAACCACTGGTCAGTACACAGGTATCCACCACTACTGGGACCAACAGCCAAGCAACATCTACCAGTAGCACTATGACTTCTGGTTCTAGCAGTCAACCCCCATCCAGTGAACCAACATCAGTCAGCACAGGGACATCTTTTAACACTGGGACCAGCAGCCTAACGACATCCACCACCAGCACTCTGACCACTTCCATTACAGGAACCAATAGGCAACAGTCACTGGACATTGCGCAGTCACTCACCAGTTATGGAACCAATAGCCAATCAACATTCTCCAATAATACTCCAAGCTCTTCAATTACAGGAACGAGTAGCCAGCTATCACCAGCCAGTACACAATCATCCACCAGTACTGGAACCAATAGCCAATCAACATCCACTAGTAGCACTCTAAATTCTTTCATTACTGGTTCTAGTAGTCAACCCCCATCTACTCAACCCCCATCAGCCAACACAGGGACATCTTTTAATACTGGGATCAGCAGCCAAATTATATCCACTAGTATCACTCTGAGCACTTCCATTACAGAAACCAATAGGCAACAGTCACTGGACACTACGCAGTCACCCACTAGTTCTGGAACCAATAGCCAATCAACATTCTCCAATAACACTCCAAGCACTTCAATTACAGGAACGAGTAGCCAGCTACCACCGGCCAGTACACAATCATCCACCAGTACTGGAACCAATAGCCAATCAACATCCACTAGTAGAACTCTAACCTCTTTCATTACTGGTTCTAGTAGTCAACCCCCATCTACTCAACTACCATCAGCCAGCACAGGGACATCTTTTAATACCGAGATTAGCAGCCAAATTATATCCACTAGTAACACTCTGAGCACTTCCATTACAGGGACCAATAGTCAACAACCACTACCCACTACACAGTCATCCACCAGTACTGGAACTAATAGCCAAGCAACATCCTCCGGCAACACTCTGAGCACTTCAATTACAGGAATGAGTAGTCAGCTACCACCTGCCAGTACACAATCATCCACCAGTACTGAAACCAAAAGCCAATCAACATTAACTAGTAGCACTCTAACCTCTTTCATTGCTGATTCTAGTAGTCAACCCTCATCTAGTCAACTCCCATCAGCAAGCACAGAGACATCTTTTAACACTGGGACCAGCAGCCAAATTATATCCATTAGTAACACTCTGAGCACTTCCATTACAGGGACCAATAGTCAACAACCACTACCCACTACACAGTCATCCACCAGTACTGGAGCCAATAGCCAATCAACATCCTCCAGTAACACTCTGAACACTTCAATTACACAAACCAGTAGCCAGCTATCACCGGTCAGTCCAAAATCATCCACCAGTACTGAAACCAATAGCCAATCAACATCCAGTAGTAGCACTCTAACCTCTTTCATTACTGGTTCTAGTAGTCAACCCCCATCTGGTCAACTCCCATCAGCAAGCACAGAGACATCTTTTAACACTGGGAGCACCAGCCAAACAACATTACCTAGTAACACTCTGAGCACATTCATTACAGGAACCAATAGGCAACAGTCACTGGACACTACACAGTCACCAGCCAATACTGGAACCAATAGCCAATCAACATTCTCCAATAACACTCCGAGCCCTTCAATTACAGGAACAAGTAGCCAGCTACCAATGACCAGTACACAATCATCAACCAGTACTAGAACCAATAGCCAATCAACATCCTCCCATAACACTCTGAACACTTCAATTACAGGAACCAGTAGCCTACTACCATTGCCCATTACACAATCATCCACTAGTGCTGGGACCAACAGCCAATCAACATCCTCCAGTAGCACTCTGACTTTCATTACTAGTTCTACTAGTCAAACATCATCAAGTCAACCTCCATCGACCAGCACAGGGACATCTTTTAACACTGGGTCCAGCAGCCAAATGACATCCACTAGTAACACAATGAGCACTTCCTTTACCGGAACCAATAGCCAACAACCACTGCCCACTACACAGTCATTCACCAGTACAGGAACAAATAGCCAATTAACATCCTCCAGTAACACTCCCAGTAACACTCGGAACACTTCAATTACAGGAACTAGTAGCCTACTACCACTGACCAGTACACAGTCATCCATTAGTACTGGGACCAACAGCCAATCAACATCCACCAGTATCACTCTGGCCTCTTCCCTTACTAGTTCTAGTAGTCAAACCTCATCTAGTCAGCCCACATCAGCCAGCACAGGGACATCTTTTAACACTGGTGCCAGCAGCCAAACTCCATCCACCAATAACACTATCAGCTCTTCCATTACTGGAGCAACAAGCCAGCTACCACTGGTCACTACACGATCATCCACCAGTAGCACTCTAAAAACATTTTTTACAGAAACCAGTAGACTATTACCACCAGCCAGTACACAATCATTCATTAGTAGTGAGACCAACAGCCAATCAATATCCACAAGTAACATTCTGACCTCCGCCATTACTGGTTCTAGTAGTCAACCCCTATCTAGTCAACAAACATCAGCTAGCACAGGTACATCTTTTAACACGGGTACCAGCGGTCAACGAACATCCACCAATAATGCTCTGAACACTTCCACAGGAACCAGAAGTCAACCTCCATCCAACACAGGGACATCTTCAAGCACTGGGTTCTTCAGCCAACAAGCATCCACCAGAAACCCTATTAGCTCTTTCACTACTTCCAGTAGTCAATCCCCATTATACAGCACAGGAACTATATCCACTACTGGAACCACCAGCCAACCAACATCTTCCAGCATCACCAATACTAAATCAACATCCACTGGCAACACTCCTAACTCATTTATTACTTTTACAGGTAGTCAGACATCATCAACCAGTCCTGTGACATCACCCAACACTGGAACTAGTAGTCAATTAACATCAAGTAATAGTCAGTCATCATCAACCAACACAGGGACAACTGTAACTACAGCAACAAATACCCAATCAACATCCACAAGCAAAATGGTGAACACTTCTAGTACTGCTACCACCAGCCAACTTTCATCAACCAAATCTGTAACATCTTTCAGTACCACCTCCAATACCAAATCAGGATTTTCAAATGCCACAAGCTTAACCACTACAGTTACTAGTGTCAGTGTTGTGTCATCAAATACAATAACCACTGCTACTAGTGGAACTACTGCTTCATCAGGTCAGACTGTGACTTCATTTACAACATCATCTTTGAGCACACCAACAGGAACAAATAATACAATGACCTCTACGACTGGAACAGGTAGCACATCAACATCAAGCACAAAAGCCAATGTTCAAACCACAAACAATACATTGACCTCGTCAAGCACTGTGACCCAACAGGCACCAACAAGTGGAACCAAAAGTGTGACAAATGAAACTTCCACTAGTACAACTGTACCGTCTTCAACTACGGGTAAGTTTATCTATAAAGATAGCCCTATTAAATTGAAATAAAACAAACAGATATGCTGGAAGTATTGTTCCATAACTAATTTTTGTCTTTTTCATTTTAGTGAGCTCGGCTAGCACTGGGCTTCCTAACTGGGCCATAATTCTCATAGCTTTGGCGGTCAGCATTGGTACGGTCATACTCATTAGTACAACCTTCCTTGTAAGTGTGTCTACTAATACTTTTCAACTGATTTTCATACTAACATTTAATGTTTATGTAATTGCTAAACATTCTAAACTCACTACAAGTTGACCCTTTTTAAAAAAATCACACACATTTTCTTTCTTTTAACATTGAACAACACTTTTTCTCAATAGTGACCTAATTTATTATTATTTTTTTTATATTTTACAGTGGTAAATGTCAACCAGAGTAATGTTTTTTGTGTTTTCTAACAATGCAGAAATAAGTCAGGCAAAATCAACCATTTTCCACATGTGGTGTGTTTATAACCTTATCCATATGCCATGCCTCCCAACTATCCCAATTTTTACCGAACATTTGCGATTTTCGTGTCCTGTCATGCCATCCCAACTTAGCTTCCCGGTGTTCCACTTTTCTGCCATCTGTCCCCTATGATGCACTTGTGCTATATTAAGGTCTTGTGCAGAGAACACTGAAACGGTGCTCCCTGCAAGTCCTGCCCTCAATGGACTGGCATTAGATGATTAAAAGACTGCTCCATTTCTATGAGGGTGCACCCCCTTTGGACAGAGCCAGTGACATGATCACATTACTTGTCCACCCCCTTTATCTCCCTTCCAAAGGCGTGCCAGAGTTTGGAGATATGGTATTAAACACATGCCATGTCCTATTTTAAGATTCTAGTATTTTTGGAGTGTTTTGGGAAAATATTAATGCAAATAAGTCTCAAGAAGTATATATGGTGTTGTTTTATAATGTGCCTGTTTTATTAAACATTAAAGTTAAAAAGCGTTATGGTCTAAGCATTCAATGGTTAATTCTGCAGCAGATTTTATTGGAAAAAGTGCAAGGTTTCGATCTCCATGAGATCTTTCTCAAGCTAGCACTAAAGTGTACTAATACAGATTGTATAGGGTTTACAATTAAACAATAAATTGATTCATAATTATACAAAGGTGTTTTTCAAATCATATATCAAAAACAGTCATCAGTTGAATCAACAGCCGAGTGCACTCACCAATTTTAACCAACCAGGAGTCCCCAATTACAAAAGAGGGTGAAACTAAGCTGATGTTTATAATCAAAATAATTTTAACCTTGAGTCTTCTTTACTTATTTAATTGCTTCATGAAATGCTCTCTTGTCTCCTTTTTGTACGAATGCTGAAAGGGATTGTCCCGAGACTACAGGATCCTCTCAGGGACATTTTCCATAAACGCGGTTAAGTTCCGATATTAAAAAATAATGGAAGCCTATATTCGCATTTGCTACCTGTCTCCCAAAATTGTAATTAATACAACCGATCCTCGTGAAAGTTATATTATTATAAACATCAGCTTAGTGTCACTCTCTTTTGTAATTGGGGACTCCTGGTTGGTTAAAATTGGTGAGTGCACTTGGCTGTTGATTTAGTTGATGACTGTTTTTGATATATGATTTGAAAAACACCTTTATATAATTAGGAATCAATATATTGTTTAATTGTAAACCCTATACAATCTATATTATTACACTTTGGAGTTAGCTTGAGAAAGATCTCATGGAGATCGAAACCTTGCACTTTTTCCAATAAAATCTGCTGCAGAATTAACCGTTGAGTGCCTGGACCATAACTCTTTTTAACTATTAAGGTGGGGGTAGCCATCCCCAGGTCTAGTAACAGCAGGATTCCAGTAAGAGTGTGGTATTCCTTGTCTTTTATTACTACATTTTCTTATTAAACATAACTTGGTGCTATTACAGTAGAACAAACCTATATTCCTAATGTCTAGTTCATGTATAGATGAAAAGGTATTTCAATATACATCTTTCTGATGTGTTTCAAATATGGGTAAATAATTGGCGTAGCAGTAACAACCGAGTAAACTGAATGACAATAAGCATTCAGAGCATTCAGAGTCAAGGAGCAACAATGCATATTCAGCTCATAGAATACATTTGGACCTCAGGATTATGGGATGCCACGTGTATTACTAGGGGGTGCTGCCACCTTAGCCTTTCCAGAATGCCTTTTAATCTATACACTTATCAAGACAAGACAGTGAGACAGACAGACGGATGGACGGACAGACAGATATCTGATTTGTGTGCTCTTTATTCTTTAAACTTCACACCTTTATATACAATGTTTTATGTTTTTTTTTTTTTATTACTGGTAAGATTGACATCTTAAATATTTTCTAGAAAACCTTAACTCACTCAACATTCATTTTTATTCTCAGATTGTCTACTGTGTGAGAAGATTTGCTGGTATCACTAGTTATAACATCACTGTTTAACCCAAAGAATATTCCTTTGCACTGATCTCTCCTATCCTGCAAAAGTATCCACTGATATGAAACAACTGTAAATCTGGACAGCTGAGTCATCGAACTCGGGAAAGAAGGACAGTCCTTTTCCAACCAGTCATTGTGTGTGATTTGGTTCCGGGACAGTAACACCCAAGGAAAGGCGTATCCCTGTGTCAGTTGTATTCAGTGGTGATATAAGACAACCCTGTACAAAGTATTTTTCTTTTGGGTTTTACTCAATAATATCAATGAAAATGTACTGCGTCACTTTAAATAAAGTGTAATATGTAGTTCCATAATAAAGTCCCCTGCATTCAGTCTGAGTAATGCAGTATAACATTACACCTATGGATGCATCATATATAAAGTATCCTGGCTATATGTCACTACATGTCTCACAGTAAAGGCTCTGTGACAAACTGTGGGCAGTATCTATATTATAGCATTTGTTAGAAAAACAGGATGTTTATAGTAAGATTGTGACATCCCCAGGAACTCTCAATATATCTAAATAAGGTACACATACATTTATCAGTGTGAAGGTATTGCCTTATGATCATTATAAAGTATACAAAGTGTATGTTGTACAAATAGAGATAGGGACTAATATATATATATATATATATATATATATATATATACACATTTTTATATTTTGTGTCTGGTCTAAACTGGTTTTGCCGGCAGAACCTTGGCCAATCAGAATTGTTCCGATCACATGTTGTGTAATTATGAGATTTTTCAATAAATTAAAATATATTTATTATGTAATTAATTTGAATCACTCCTTTATTGTGATATGAGTGAAGGCATACTATGTTTATTGTATTTTTTTTACTATTATTTAAATAAACACAATGTTCTAAAACTGTTATACGAGTGAACCTTATATAAGGGCATTGGTTTTCATGACACAAACACACAAACATTAGTTGTAAAGGTGGAAACATTTAGACATTAGTTACTTTCTGAACCTTTAATATATATATATGTTACAGTAACAGCAGGAAAGCTGAGAGATGTATGTGTGTGGAATGAAAACTGGATCCAATGGCCTTGATGTATCCCATTGTATTCTATAACCACACATTATTGTGGCAAACCTAGCCACTTGTGGGATGCTGAACTGTCTGTATCAAAAGGTTGTCTGTAATAACCGCTGTATTGTATGTGTAACATTGATCTGTACTGTTATGTGGATAGAATTCGTATGCTAGCAGCCAAATGCCGCTAGCATTCATGTATTTCGTTTCACGAACACACGACTTTACTGGCTGTTCGTGAAACGAATGAGCTACCCCCCAATAGCCCACACATAGAGAGACGTGTGGCACTCGTTAAGGTAGGTAGTTAAGGAGTGAAAAAAACAGGTTTATAGAGAGCGCAAAAAATATATATCAGTAAAATAGTGGATTTTCTAAGCAGGTGCTTCAAATTATGATTATCCACAAGAAAAAGTTAATATACAAAGCTGCCAGATACACTAAAAACCTTCCCAAGTTTTAAAACATCATGTGTGACATAAATTGAAATAAAAACAGTATCAGCGCTTAGTTAATATACCCCTATTTTTTGTATATGGGTCAACAACAAAAATATATTGAATAAATTAAATAAAGAGTCCCAGTTTCAATCTTCATGGGGTGTTTCCAAATGTCCGCAGGGATTTGATAGTTGTAACAGTAATTGATGTAAAAAGACTTTGTCTTTATATGTATCCAACCTTAAATCAAAAAGATACTAACATAGCGTGATACAGTTACAATACTTTATTTCCCATATGGTAATCCCCCCATAAGAGGAACTCTTACAATTAAAAGTGGTGAAACTTATTTCTAAGGTTCACAATAAAAACGTAGAAATGCAGAATATTGGTCGGTGAATATAAAGTTACCGCTCCGTGGGTGTTAATTCCAGACCGGTCCTGTGCACTCGGATCGATCCTCACTGAGAAGCCAACTAGCCAATCTGCAGTCTCTCCAAATTCCAAAATCCCGCCAGAAACACGATCTACGCGTTTCACTCATTCAAACGAGCTTTCTCAAGATACAGTGTTCTGGGGGATTGTGATTACATATATATCTCTAGCAATTAAATAGTTAAAAAACAAGAAATTCATCTGGTACATTAATATCTTCCATTTAACTATGTGTTCTCTGATTCTTACTATATTTTCAGACTCATAGCAGTATATCATTATTTCGTTTTGATTGATATAAATATACACAGTTTCTAAACATCGTGAATGTTTAATCCTAACAAACAATCATAATCAACATATTCTTCTATGATTAGTGGAACAATTAAGTTCCACTGTTTTATGCATTAAAAATGAAAAATAAAGCATTTTATGTTTCATCCTTTTTTTCCATCAATTAAAACATAGTAAAAACGCTGGTGTTCTAGACAAAATTCTAAATATAGTAAATGATAAAACACTCATATAAATATACATAATTGCAGCATGAATTATAAAACTTAAATCAACTTATAAACATCATGAGTAATTAGTTCTATTAGACAAATTAAACTCAAATTCATTCTCTATAGTTAAAGTAACAGTTAGGTTCCCATCTTTTATACAGTTTGGAAAAATGATAAACAATTCATATTTCTCTACTTTTTCATCTATTCAAACGTGAGAAACATCAGTCATAAATTAGTCTACCTTAAATGAATTGTAATAAGTAGTTAAATATATCAGGCTCTTAACATCAGCCCGATCCTTTGTATCTAACAGAGCAATTAAGCTCCAATCTAAGACGATCTATTTTATCTACAGTTCCTATTTCACATTACCTCTTGTTTACGCCATAGGAGATAACAATTAAGATAATACAGTCGTAAAAGAAAAATGTTTAAATCCCTTAAAGGCACAGACTTTATTTCTATTCAATTTTATCAGCCCGTGTATTCTAAACTTTTTAACCAGGGATATCTTACAAATTCCAGAATCTAATAAGAATAAATAACCAAATGTCAATAAAAACTTTTAGAATAAAAAGAGGACTTATAAAGAATATATATTATGAATCCTGTTAAAAAATCTTGTTTCCATTCTCTATATCAGATCATAAAATATGTGCTATTTCAAATTCAGCATTAAGTCCAAATGGAGTTAGGGTTTTAAAGTATAAATCCAATAAGTTTCTCTATATATTAAACTTTATTTCAGGTAGTTAAGGACATTCCTAGGTGTCCATCGTTCGGCTACCGACCACGCAGCGGTCAGCCATCTTGGATCCTTTGTTTCACCAGCGGTGTTTGGTCGTCGGGCGCATGGAACTGAAATCGGCTACTCGACAGCGCGAACACCGCTGGACTTCCAGGCCGTTCGGGAGCTCCGGTCTTTCACTATTGTGGTTCCCCATCGGTGTTCGGTACTTTCAGGCGAACCCAATGGTAGAGTGTATTTTGTGCGGCGTTCGGTAGTTTAAGCTGGGATCTGAGCGGTATTCCCATGAAATGTGCACTCAGACCCCAACTATCTACCGAACGTCCATTCATTTAAATAACCTGAATATTGCCAAAGTTATATATTTTAATGTGAAATGCGGGTTCTGCTGCACGGAGGGATAATCCACTTAATGGTATATTTCAGTAGGAGTATCCCTCTTGTTCAGCAGTGCCTGATGGGAGAAATGCCCAGAATGTTAAGTCCCCCATGTAGTCCCCTACTGTATTACCCCTGCTAGGTCAGTAGGGACACCCCTTGCATGGGGACTTGCATAAATACTGGAGCTGTGAATAAAAACATCAGTTGACTACCAGAACTGTGTTTCATCCGGTTCATCCGATTTGGGATATTGCCTTACTTTTCAGCGCTTGACTGGGGATTACCTTCTGTACAAGTGGAGATCATGGAATTTAATATTGCAGCTCCTCTACAATTATTAATACACTGAACTTTAAATATACTGTTTCTATATAGTACAAGTTTGAAAGTTATTTTTATGATTCATCGAAAATAAGAAGAGAAGAAATCAGTGTGGATTTTTTTTTCACTGTCTGTAATCGCACGGTGTGACGAGACCATTCTCGACACTGTGCATTGGAGGAGCCTGGTTGCCCGCCTGCTGCCTTTAGACTATGGCCCCATGTTGAAACGCTTGATTTTCCCCTACGGAGACACGAAAGCCAGGTCATTCGGTGCTGGATGGATATGGCTATGCCATCGTATAATGAAAGACTATGGGAAAGACAAACTGTATGTGTGTGCTCTGAGCGCCATTCAGTAATAATGTGCGCTCAGATCTGAGCTATCTGGGGATATGTTGAATGTACCTGTTTTGTGCAATGGCTGCACAGTTATATGTTTTATGTGTTTTATTGTCTTTTGCTGCCATGTGTTCAATGGAGTTTTGCCTCTGTCTTTGGAGATAATTGGATTACTTCCCAATTATCTCCAGGATAGAAGACTCTGTGGAACTGGTTTTGGGCAGAAAAGCCATGCTTCCTTTGGTCACAAAGGACTACGATCTATCTTTTGAACCACTGGACCAATCTGGATGATTTTGACATATGTTTGAATTTGGAGTATGCTGATTCTGAAAATGTATTTTATGTGAATGTGATGCATACTTTTCAAGTTATGAATAATGTGGAAAAATTGTATTTCTCTGCTTGTGATAATTACATTACCCATTGTGTAAGGTAATTGTATCACAGGCAGAGGGGAGGATTTTGTGTGGGAGTGTCTGAGTGTGTTGTATGTGTTTATTGGTTGTGTTCCAAAACCCTGTGGGTGGTACTAATGTGTATATAAGAACAATAAACCAACAGCTCTGTTCCTGCTTGACACTCAAAACGGAGCCTTGTCTCGTTCTTGGGGGGATTTACTGTATGCTGTTCCAGTTCGACTGCTAGGAGTGTAAACCTATTCGTATGGTTTTTCCTATTCAGCTGTTTACGGCATTCACATGGTTTCCTGTTCGGCGGATTGGTGTTCTGCAGTAGCTGTGCCTGTGCATCTAAAAGGGGAATATCGCCTAAACAGTTTTTAACCTCTTGTGGGCAAAACGGTCCGTTACACACGGCATATAACACACAGGGGGTGAGATTGGAAGTCATCCAAGGATCCATCAGTAAAAGACACAATTGAGCTTATTAACAGGAACTGTGAAGAATTGACAGTAGCAAGTTAAATTGAGTTGGATAATTTTTCTTATATGATAATTTGTGCCTTAAATTAACAACTGAAATTCCTCTGCCAATTCCTAACACTTTTCATTTTCAAGCGGCTCTGTCGTCATAGAGACATCGCAACTTGGTGTGGGGTACAGGGAATGGTACGTTTTACTTACCCAAAGCTGTCCCTTGTGGCTGCCATGACTATCCAATGGATCGTCTTCAGCTAATGGTGCTTCATCTTCAAGGAGCCCACATCAAAGCTAAATCTAGGACAAGAGTACTACAATGATATCTATGAATCCTCCACAGACAGAGCTTTTTGGGGTGGGGGGGCAGGAAATTGGCAAAACTAGATGGCGGTAGCTCTGCCTTTCATCAAGTTTTTTCAAGTGCAGGAAAAATGCATAAGAAAAAGTAGTTGTGCCCATTTACAAGAAAGGTAACAGGGAGGAGTCAGGCAACTATAGGCCAGTAAGCCTTACTTCAGTAGTGGGGAAAGTGATGGAAACCATGTTAAAGGATAGGATTGATGAACATCTAAAAACACATGGATTTCAAGATCAGAGACAACATGGGTTTACTTCAGGGAGATCATGCCAAACTAATCTTATTGATTTTTTGATTGGGTAACTAAAATTATAGATCAGGGTGGTGCAGCAGACATTGCTTACCTAGATTTCAGTAAGGCTTTTGACACTGTTGCACATAGAAGGCTTATCAATAAACTGCAATCTTTAAGTTTGGATTCAAATATTGTTGAATGGGTAAGGCAGTGGCTGAGTAACAGGCAACAGAGGGTTGTAGTTAATGGAATATATTCGAAGCATGGGCTTGTCACCAGTGGGTTACCTCAGGGATCTGTACTTGGACTCATTCTCTTTAATATTTTTATTAGTGATATTGCAGGAGGTCTTGATGGTAAGGTATGTCTTTTTGCTGATGATACTAAGATATGTAACAGGGTTGATGTTCCAGGAGGGATAAGCCAAATGGCAAATGATTTAGGAAAACTAGAAAAATGGTCAAAGCTGTGTGCATCTTGAATGTAAAAATCCAAGGGCAGAGTATAGCATATTAAAATGAGTCACAACCTCAACATCTGAGGAAAGGGATTTAGGGGTAATTATTTCAGATGACTTAGAGGTAGGCAGACAATGTAACAGAGCAGCAGGAAATGCTAGCAGAATGCTTGGTTGTATAGATATAGGTATTAGCAGTAGATGAGGGAAGTGTTCATGCCATTGTACAGAATGCGGTTGAGACCTCACTTTGAGTATCGTACGCTACATTTCTCCAGAAGGATATTGATACTTTGGAGAGAGTTGTGAGAAGGGCTACTAAACTGGTTCATGGATTGTGGGATAAAACTTACCAGGAAAGGTTAAAGGAACTTAACATGTATAGCTTGGAGGAAAGATGAGCTAGGAGGGATGTGATAGTAACATTTAAATACATAAAGGGAATCAACACAGTAAAGGAAGAGACTATATTTAGAAGAAGAAAAAATACCACAAGAGGACATAGTAAAAAATTATAGGGGCAAAGATTTAAAAATAATATCAGGAAGTATTACTTTACTGAGAGGGTAGTGGATGCATGGAATAGCCTTCCAGCTGAAGTGATAGAGGATAACAAAGTAATGGAGTTTAAGCATTAAGCAGGGATAAAATGAAAGTATTTTGAAAATTGGGCAGACTGGATTGGCTGAATGGTTCTTATCTGCCTCACATTCTATGTTTCTATGTTTCTAAATCATGTTCAACTTTTCATGTTAAAGTGGATAAACCACAAACAGATTCTGTTGTAGACATACCAAGTACATTGCATGGACCATACATAACTTATTCTAGCAATAACATAAAATAAATAAGGACATACACAATGAAACACAATGAGACTGTTAATGGATGTAATGGCCATAGATCTTATTTAAAGGGTTTGAGAGGCATTGCACATAACCATTCCAATAAAAAAAAAAAAATAACCAAAATTAATTTAGCCTTAAAATGACATTAAAACTGCAGTTCATCCCCAAAACTGGTGGCAACTTTACCCCAAA